CGGCCCCTACGCTGGGTACATTCAAAATCCAACTAAAAACATGGCTTTATGTCCAGGCCTTCCCTCCTGCCAGCATTTAAGTTAATTTAATTTATTTAATTTTAACTTTTTCTTTTTCTTATCTATCATTTATTATTTTTAGTATGTTTGTTAATAATGGATGTTCATGGATTCATCTTGTTTTAATTGTATTTGTTCTGTTGTCAGCCGCTCAGAGTGGTATAATTATACCAGATGGGCGGGATATAAATCAAATAAATAAATAAATAAATAAATATGACCACATGGTCCCTTGGGGGCCCCTGGCACATTTGAAGGGGTCTACAGACAGGAAACACTTCTTCACACACCATCTTTTATTGTTCACTGTGCAACTGGTAATGGCGCGGCTAAAAAATCTTGTAAATAAAATAAATAAAAAATCAACTTGAACACTCCTGTTTCAGCCTATATTTCTTTTATACTGTGTTTCTGGCTGTGGCCAAAAAAAAGGTTGAGAATGGCTGATCCAGAAGATCACCACTGCAATAAAATAACATTACCTAGCTGAAGGTGTACCAAATATTTTAAATATAACATGGAGAAAGCAGTATGGTAGTAGTTATCATCACTTGAAGATGAGGATTTGTATCAATAATAAGATAAAATTACAGACGAATAAACAATTAGGCCAAAAGCCATATTTGTATTATCCACTCAGGCCAAAGAATCAGAAAAAAATGTTAGCAACCTTTTCAGATTTTTCAACCAGGAAATATGTTAACAAAAATTAGATTGGTGAAATGATCTGGCCTGATGTTAAGATATGGCATCTGAATGGTTTGTGTTCTGAGCTGACATAAAAGAGGAGATGTCCATCAGATACAAAAATTATGCCAAAGGACTGTTCTATCATTGCCTTCAAATAACCTTACCGAATCTGAGATTTTGTATTATGAGAATGAGATGATTGTGTAGTCAAAGAAACAGGATGGGATGAAGGAATCTTGTACTCATCATCTTCTGCATTTTCTTTCAGTTTCTCAGGGAGAGAATTTGTGACAGGAACAGAAGACCTCAAGAAAAAAGTATATCAAATCCAGGTAAGTTTTCTTTGTCATAGGAAGCAGATATGCTATTTATCACTCATGTATAGGTTAAATGAAATTTCCTCCTGTTACCTTCACAACATGTCCATGACACCAAATAGGGTGAAAGGGAGTGGTTGAGTGCAGCATTAGTTTAAATTATTGTTTAGATAAGTAAAGCTCAGCTTTGTCCTGCAAATTGTGTGTCTTCTCATGTGACGGACAAACATCAGCTTTAATTTGTTGACTATAGCTTTGTCCTGCAAATTGTGTGTCTTCTTCTCATGTGATGGACAAACATCAGCTTTAATTTGTTGACTACACCATGCTGAACACACATTAAATTTGTTTAAACCAAACCAGTCTGAACCAAGCTCTCAAATTGCTTGTTTGACAGTACCAAATTTAAAATTAACTCAAGTATGTCAGATTAAAAGAGCAAGCTATCATCAAAAGCAAAAATAAAAAATTCTGCAATCCTAATAGCTACCCAAGAAGAGTGAGAAGGAAGAACATCTCAACTAATTGTGGAGAAAAAGCTTAGCTTTTTTACACCAACCCAGATCATAACTTACTTTGACATCTGAGCACAACCAATGAGAAAGAAAAGAAGACCAAGTAAGTTTCCTGGCCAAGAACAAATCTGAACATTCAAGTCAATCTGTTTGATTCAAGTATGCTACTCGCTATGATGCTTGCCGGTAATTTGATACACACTTTGCATTACATAACAATATCCAGTGAAATATGCAGAAATATCTCCAGTTTTCTCCTTTATCAGACAGTAGGGTCTTCCTGTCAGACAATTTCAAATTATGAGATTTCTAGTGTTTCCATAGTGAGGTGTTATTAAATTTGTGAGAACAACTAACACCTTTTCTCTTCAGCCTAAGTCCTGTCAGAAAATGCAACCCTTCTCTCAGAAAATTGTTGCAGTTGCAAATGTTTTGGTGTTCACATGTTCATTTCTTTGGTTTGCATTTAGACAACACAAAAAAAGAGAGGAGAAAAGTCCAATCTGATACAATCCTACACAGAAACCCAAAAATGCACTGGATAAAATTATTGGCACCCTTAACTTAATATTTGGTAGCACCCCCTTTGCAAAAATAATTTTTTTTTAATAAAACAAGAGGTATTCAAGAATTTTCACTGAGATCACAGATTTAGAACTCAGTCATATAGCACCATTAATATTAGGCAGAGAGAGATTGGTGCACTTCACTTTTTGTTAGACAATGTGTAAGAAAAACCTTAAAACAAGTTTTGATCACTGATTGTAAAAAAAGAACAGAAGCAGCTGATTGGCTGGATGATGAATCACTGATCATTCCAATTACAGACAGATGGCCATTATTATTAATGTTATTTATGCAAACAAGTAAAATATCATCAACACTGACAACATAATTCAAGCAGTATACTGTAGGGATCTAAAAAAAAATCTCACCAATGCCAATTCTTGGCTAAGGCAGATTGTCTTGAGATTACTGAGGTGACATATGAATAATTACTTCCACTGCAAGAATTAGACACCAAGTGCATTTGTTTCTTCATGCAGTTTGTGCAAAATATTTCAAGCATCCTGCCCTTTCTGAAGGCGAACACACACACAGAGAGAGCAAGGATGAAAATACAGGCTAATTGTTCAAAGCAAACAAATAACCCATCCAATGATTCTATATATTAACAAGTCAGCAGTCAAACCTATATACAAAACGTGGGTGGGCTTGCAAATGCAGAAGTTCTCCTAACTAAAAAACCTCATGTGTCTGACAGGTGACAACTAAAACATTTGTACTTTCTCATTTGACATAGAAGACTGGGACAAACAAGGATTCACACTCCTAGACTGTACTGTACATTAGTATGCAAAATAAATTATGCTTTATATGTCATGTACAAGATTATTTATATACAAGGTCTAATACATACCGTATTTTTTGCTCCATAAGACGCACTTCCCCCCCCCAACCCAATGTGGGGGGAGTCTGTGCGTCTTATGGAGCGAAGGTGGCAATTTTGCCCCCACTGGCCCCGTGGGGGGGAGCCTCCCAAAGGTCCGAGTGAGCCTTCCATGACCCTTGCGGGGCTCCCCCCACCCCCCACGGGGCCAGCGGGGGTGAAATTGCAAGCTTCCAGGACTTTTTCTGAGGCTTTTAAGCCTCCCAAAAGGTCCTGGAAGCTGGCGAT